TGTGCCCCAGCCTGACATTGTGTGCCCCAGCCTGGCATTGTGTGCCCCAGCCTGACATTGTGTGCCCCAGCCTGGCATTGTGTGCCCCAGCCTGACATTGTGTGCCCCAGCCTGGCATTGTGTGCCCCAGCCTGACATTGTGTGCCCCAGCCTGGCATTGTGTGCCCCAGCCTGACATTGTGTGCCCCAGCCTGGCATTGTGTGCCCCAGCCTGACATTGTGTGCCCCAGCCTGGCATTGTGTGCCCCAGCCTGACATTGTGTGCCCCAGCCTGGCATTGTGTGCCCCAGCCTGACATTGTGTGCCCCAGCCTGGCATTGTGTGCCCCAGCCTGACATTGTGTGCCCCAGCCTGGCATTGTGTGCCCCAGCCTGACATTGTGTGCCCCAGCCTGGCATTGTGTGCCCCAGCCTGACATTGTGTGCCCCAGCCTGGCATTGTGTGCCCCAGCCTGACATTGTGTGCCCCAGCCTGGCATTGTGTGCCCCAGCCTGACATTGTGTGCCCCAGCCTGGCATTGTGTGCCCCAGCCTGACATTGTGTGCCCCAGCCTGGCATTGTGTGCCCCAGCCTGACATTGTGTGCCCCAGCCTGGCATTGTGTGCCCCAGCCTGACATTGTGTGCCCCAGCCTGGCATTGTGTGCCCCAGCCTGACATTGTGTGCCCCAGCCTGGCATTGTGTGCCCCAGCCTGACATTGTGTGCCCCAGCCTGGCATTGTGTGCCCCAGCCTGACATTGTGTGCCCCAGCCTGGCATTGTGTGCCCCAGCCTGACATTGTGTGCCCCAGCCTGGCATTGTGTGCCCCAGCCTGACATTGTGTGCCCCAGCCTGGCATTGTGTGCCCCAGCCTGACATTGTGTGCCCCAGCCTGGCATTGTGTGCCCCAGCCTGACATTGTGTGCCCCAGCCTGGCATTGTGTGCCCCAGCCTGACATTGTGTGCCCCAGCCTGGCATTGTGTGCCCCAGCCTGACATTGTGTGCCCCAGCCTGGCATTGTGTGCCCCAGCCTGACATTGTGTGCCCCAGCCTGGCATTGTGTGCCCCAGCCTGACATTGTGTGCCCCAGCCTGGCATTGTGTGCCCCAGCCTGACATTGTGTGCCCCAGCCTGGCATTGTGTGCCCCAGCCTGACATTGTGTGCCCCAGCCTGGCATTGTGTGCCCCAGCCTGACATTGTGTGCCCCAGCCTGGCATTGTGTGCCCCAGCCTGACATTGTGTGCCTCAGCCCGGCATTGTAGCTACTTTACAACATGATTTATAATAATCACAATGTCCGCCACACACTACGAGAACCTGTGTGTATATAAACTCTATGGGGGAGCTTCAGTTCCTTTGTTCCCCACAAGGTGGTGCTCTTATCCATACTGAATGGCTTGCGCTGAGAGGAAGTGATGTCAGTTACAGACAGGAAGTGATGTCACCTATAAATGGGAGGTTTGAGGTCAGAGGTGAGTTTTCACATCTTTTTATCTTCAGCTGTCTCTTCTACATACAAATGCATCATAAATGTGGGAGAATTATGTAAACAGTAATAACCAGACGAACACATGTAAGGTATGAATAGCACTCCCGGTGTAATCTCTCTGTGTAGTAACATGGACGGAGGTCGGCGCCTCTCGTAGATTTGGAGATCCGGGACAGTCCGAACCGCGAGAGATGACAAACTAAAGACAGCGATTCATTTGACAAAGAGCCCCGCAGTCCAAATAATTCTCCGCCTATTACCCGTCCTACAGAGAGGAGCATCCGGTATAGATCACATGACCACCTCGATGGACGAGGACCGGAGTCACGTGACTGAGAGGATATTGGACCTCACCCTGGAGATCATCTACCTGCTGACCGGAGAGGTGAGGAGGATTCTGGGAGGTCACATGACATCACTCTGATCTCTATTCATAAAACACGAACCTGACCGGAGAGGTGAGGAGGATTCTGGGAGGTCACATGACATCACTCTGATCTCTATTCATAAAACACAGACCTGACCGGAGGGGTGGGGAGGATTCTGGGAGGTCACATGACATCACTCTGATCTCTATTCATAACACACAGACCTGACCGGAGAGGTGAGGAGGATTCTGGGAGGTCACATGACATCACTCTGATCTCTATTCATAATACACAGACCTGACCGGAGAGGTGAGGAGGATTCTGGGAGGTCACATGACATCACTCCTTCTGTTTCAATACAGAGTTTCCCTGCTGTCAAGAAGTCTGGTGACCAGGTAACCATCACAGTGCCTCCTCCTCAGTCCCGGATCCCCAAGAAAAACAACAAGGGGAAGATTCTAGAAGTCACCAAGAAGATCATTGATCTGCTGACAGGAGAGGTGAGCGGTGCCGGGAATTCTGGGACATGATCCAGGAACAGACAAGGGGTGTGTCTGGGTGGTGACGGGAGAGGTGAGCGGTGCCGGGGATTCTGGGACATGATCCAGGAACAGACAAGGGGCGTGTCTGGGTGGTGACGGGAGAGGTGAGCGGTGCCGGGGATTCTGGGACATGATCCAGGAACAGACAAGGGGCGTGTCTGGGTGGTGACGGGAGAGGTGAGCGGTGCCGGGGATTCTGGGACATGATCCAGGAACAGACAAGGGGCGTGTCTGGGTGGTGACGGGAGAGGTGAGCGGTGCCGGGGATTCTGGGACATGATCCAGGAACAGACAAGGGGCGTGTCTGGGTGGTGACGGGAGAGGTGAGCGGTGCCGGGGATTCTGGGACATGATCCAGGAACAGACAAGGGGCGTGTCTAGCTGGTGACGGGAGAGGTGAGCGGTGCCGGGGATTCTGGGACATGATCCAGGAACAGACAAGGGGCGTGTCTGGGTGGTGACGGGAGAGGTGAGCGGTGCCGGGAATTCTGGGACATGATCCAGGAACAGACAAGGGGCGTGTCTGGGTGGTGACGGTATCATTGTGTGTGTCAGGTTCCTATAAGGTGTCAGGATGTCTCTGTCTATCTCTCCATGGAGGAGTGGGAGTATCTAGAAGGACACCGGGATCTCTACAAGGACGTGGTGATGGAGGACCACCAGGTCCCACAGCACCATCAGGTAGAAGCTTGACAATCTATGCAATTGTTTTTTTTTGCTTGTACAACTATTTCCCCCATATCATTACTTTTTTTTTTTTAATTCATTCAGTTTGGAATTCTGAATGATTTCAACATTATTGTTAAAGAAGAGGTTAATGATGAAATAGATGAGGATGGTATAACAGAGGAGATAGTGTGCCCAGGAGGACACCGGGATCTCTACAAGGACGTGGTGATGGAGAATGAGCCGCCCCTCACATCACCGGGTAAGAGGAGAGAGCAGTACGGAGGCTCCGCCTACATCCCCCATCATCTGATACACACATAGAAACAATGTATTCAGTCATTGTGTGTGTTTCCTACAGATGGATCCAGTAAGAGGAACCCACCAGAGAGATGTCCCCGCCCCCTGTATTCCCGGGATCCCACCCAGGAAGATCTCACCATCCCCCACCATGATCAGGTAGGTGGGGCTGAGCACAGAGATCTCAAGAATTATTTCTAACCTGAGATCATGTTCCTCTGTGTAGTCTCTGTATATTGGTGTTTACATTTTAAACATGTTCCTTCAATTGTTTTCTTAGGGTGATGAACCAATTGACATGAAAATTGAGGTTAAAGAGGAAGGAGAGACGCACGTGAGAGGTAATGAGCAATCTGCAGATGAGGTTTGATATCAGCACGTTAATGATAAACAGAAACAATTCACATTTTCATTATACTTCTATGAACATGAGATCTGTACAGATGAGGTCCATCTCCATTCCTCAATATAACGTCATGTGACCAACAAATCAGGAGGAGATACTGGACACCATATGAAGGTCCATCTCCATTCCTCAATATAACGTCATGTCCCCAACAAATGAGGAGGAGATACTGTACACCATATGAAGGTCCATCTCCGTTCCCCAATATAACGTCATGTGACCAACAAATGAGGAGGAGATACTGTACACCATATGAAGGTCCATCTCCATTCCTCAATATAACATCATGTGACCAATAAATGAGGAGGAGATACTGTACACCATATGAAGGTCCATCTCCATTCCTCAATATAACATCATGTGACCAATAAATGAGGAGGAGATACTGTACACCATATGAAGGTCCATCTCCATTCCTCAATACAACGTCATGTGACCAACAAATGAGGAGGAGATACTGTACACCATATGAAGGTCCATCTCCATTCCTCAATATAACGTCATGTGACCAACAAATGAGGAGGAGATACTGTACACCATATGAAGGTCCATCTCCATTTCTCAATATAACGTCATGTGACCAACAAATGAGGAGGAGATACTGTACACCATATGAAGGTCCATCTCCATTCCTCAATATAACGTCATGTGACCAACAAATGAGGAGGAGATACTGTACACCATATGAAGGTCCATCTCCATTCCTCAGTGTGATCTCATGTTCGGCAATATTAATTTCTTGACCTCTGAGGAACGTTGAATAATAATCCCGGGTAGATGATTTCTGATGGAACAATTATGAATATTTACTTGCTTGTAATAACGATAAAATGTTTCTCTCACCAGCAGATGGACACGATGATCGGAATTCCTCAAATCCACATTTCTCTGTGTCTCCAGATTATAAGGAAGAAGATGATGATGATGGCACGGTGGAATGTTCTACTGAAGTAAAGAATGTTACTCGGAATATAAATCCTGGACTTGACCAGGAATATAGACCGGTGCCTTTCTCTAATACTCAAGCTTCTCTTGATGAGCCACATCCTGTTTCCTCAAGTACGCAGCCAGTAAGTCACAGTACGGGTATATCCCCTGATCTGGCCAAGCTCCATTGGATTACTTACAGCAGTGTGGATACAGTTACACTCGGAGATGACAAAACAATCACATCCTCGAAAACTGATCAATGTAAAACGTCAAAATCATCACTTAATCAACGGACGAACAAACACGAGGTTCCATTTCCATGTTCAGAGTGTGGGAAGGGTTTCACATCGAAGCAGGACCTTCTTAGACACCAGAGAAGTCACACGGGCGAGCGACCTTTTTCCTGTTCGGTGTGCGAGAAAAGCTTTGCCCAGAAAGGAGACCTTCTTAGACACCAGAGAATTCACACAGGCGAGCGTCCTTATTCGTGTTCAATATGCAACAAATCTTTCAGTCGTAAAGGACACCTTATTACGCACCAGAGGGGACACACAGGCGAACGTCCTTTTTCATGCACACAGTGCGGGAAATCGTTTGCTCAAAGAGCGGCATTTGTGACCCACGAGAGAAGTCACACTGGTGAACGTCCTTATGCGTGTCCACAGTGCGGGAAGTGTTTCGGTCAAAAAAAGTTACTTACTGTGCACCAGAGAAGTCACTCGGGCGAGCGTCCTTTTTCTTGTCCAGAGTGTGGGAAGCTTTTCACTTACAGAGGAGACCTTCTTAGGCACCAGAGGAGTCATACGGGAGAGCGTCTCTTTTCATGTGCAACGTGTGGCAAATCTTTTTTTCGGAAGGGGCACCTTGTTACCCACCAGAGGAGACACACAGGCGAGCGGCCGTTTCCATGTACGTACTGTGTGAAATCTTTTGCGCATAAAGCAGCATTTGTGGCTCATCTGAGAACTCACACAGGGGAACGTCCCTTTTCATGTACAGAGTGTGGGAAGTGTTTCACTCAGAAAGGAGCACTTACAGCACACCAGAGAAGACACACGGGTGATCTTCCTTTTTCTTGTCTGGAATGTGGCAAAGGTTTTGTAGAGAAAGGACGCTTTGTTAGACACCAGAGAAAACACACAGGTCAGTATCCTTTTTCCTGTCAATAGTGTGGGAATGGTTTCACTAAAATTATTATCTATTGTGTCACGTGATCAAGCGTATGATTTTGCTTTTTAGAGTCCAGGAATGGTTCCACTCTGAAAGGACACAAGGATTTAACAATGGCAAACCAGACACTTCTAATATCATCAGGTAAGAGGAGAGAGCAGTACGGAGGCTCCGCCTACATCCCCCATCATCTGATACACACATAGAAACAATGTATTCAGTCAGTGTGTGTGTTTCCTACAGATGGATCCAGTAAGAGGAACCCACCAGAGAGATGTCCCCGTCCTCTGTATTCCCGGGATTCCACACAGGAAGATCTCACCGTCCCCCGCCATGATCAGGTAGGTGGGACTTAGGATCTACAACTCCGAAGTGATTAAAAAGTTGGTGTCCACAGTGTGGGAATCTTTTAAAAACATTTTTTCATTCTGCTTTTAGAATGTAAACCCCATTGTTATAAAACCCGAGGATAAAGAGGAAATTGAGACCATTGTTAGAGGTAATCAAGAGTCTACGGAGGAGGGGGCTGTGATGGTGACAATTAAGGAGGAGGAACATCCGGTAACCATCGGCATAGGTGAGTAATAAGCACAGAATGGAGAAATGGTTTACAGTCTTAAGTTTGAAGGTCCATCTCCATTCCTCAGTATAACGTCATGTGACCAACAAATGAGGAGAAGATACTGTACACCATATGAAGGTCCATCTCCATTCCTCAATATAACGTCATGTGACCAACCAATGAGGAGGAGATACTGGACACCATATGAAGGTCCATCTCCATTCCTCAATATAACGTCATGTGACCAACAAATGAGGAGGAGATACTGTACACCATATGAAGGTCCATCTCCATTCCCCAATATAACGTCATGTGACCAACAAATGAGGAGGAGATACTGGAGACCATATGAAGGTCCATCTCCATTCCTTAATTGAACATTCTTGATTTCTAACTGAACACACAATATATTATCTTACTTTTACTTTATTAAGTATATCTTTCCAGCTCGTTGACATGATTTTTAGAATATCTGAATATTTTATTTAATCTTCAGATTACAAAACCGAAGATAACGGCATCATACAATATTCTTCAGCCGTAAAACAAGTTGCTGAAAATATACATCACGGACTTCACCACGAGACTGCAGATCATCATGGGACACACAAACATATTGCATGTTCAGAGTGCGGGAAAAAATTCTCGCAGAAAGGAGACCTTCTTAGACACCAGAGAATTCACACAGGTGTGCGTCCTTATGAATGTTCAGAGTGTGGAAAATGTTTCACTCAGAAGGGGGACCTTCTCGCGCACAAGAGAAGACACACGGGCGAGCGTCCTTTCTCATGCTCTGACTGCGGGAAAAGTTTCAGTCAGAATGGTGATCTTATCAGACACCGGAGGATTCACACCGGTGAGCGTCCCTTTTCATGTCCGGAGTGCGGGAAAAGTTTCACTCAGAAAGGAGTACTAACTGCACACCAGAGACGTCACACGGGCGAGCGTCCGTTCTCGTGTTCGAAATGTGGCCGATCTTTCGTTCAAAAGGGAAACCTTCTTACCCACGAGAGGAAGCACATTTGTGAGGGTCCTGTTTTATGCTTTTTATAGTGTGGGAAATGTAGCAATTCTTCCACACCAGAGACGTCACACGGGCGTGCGTCCTTAGTCGTGTTCGAAATGTGACAGATCTTTTATAGTTTGGGAAATGTATTTCTCAGAATAAAAGAGCAATTGTTACTTACCACACGGGCGAACATCCGTTCTCTAAATCTTCTCTTCGAGGTCTCCATGATACGAAGTCTTCATCCTGTAGATCACTCTGCAGCCTGGTGATTGATTGGGCCTCCTCAGTGGTGAGACTAGGACCCTTAGCACCCAAGGCGAAAAGGCCAAAGTGTGCCTCCCCATGACCTTTGAACTACTTTAGCAGCGAAGGTTGCACGTCCATCCCGTTGTGCTGAATCTCCCAAGGCGGTTGCCTCTTCTGCTTACCCCACGGCCCGGCCCTTGGCCTCCTTAATGGCTGTCAGTACACTACATGGGCTGCTTCAGTTATTCGTTTGTGTGCCGATGAAGCAGGTATCTACTTTTCACGTGGTGACCCTTCATCTCCACAAGGCCGCCCCTTCTGGAAGACGAGGTCACCGCGTGTTCAATGAACTCTGAATGTTCTAGTTACAAAGCCTTCCAACCAATACTCCCTTATTATGGTCATATGTTCTCTCTCGGGACTGATAGTTCGGTGTTATGAGATTTCGGTCGGGGGGGTGGGGACATACACGGGGCAGTCCAGTCTTGTGGGTTTCACCTTCAATGGTGTTTTTTTATTCATTTTCCGGGAGAGTTACACACATGTGAAGAACGTGACGTTTGCGGGTGAATTCCACACGTGTTCAGACAATGGTTATAAATAAAGTTTTTGTAAGTCATCTGCTTTCTTTCATAATTTGTACAAAACATGGTAAAACGGGAAGTTAGAGAAGGACACAGATGATAATATAAAGGTATTCTTCTCTACGTCTGTCTTGTACCGGGGGCTGGACAAAGCTCTGGAGCCAGGTCGCCAGAGTTCCTTAAGAATTACAGCTGACAGCCTTCCCCCATGCAACCTATCATAGGTAACCCCGGGTTCCCCCCAGGTCTGGAAGACGGACTATTGTGTCGTCTCCTGGCCAGGGGCAAATTCAGGGTATTGCAGTTTTTAAATGGTCCATCTTGGCGGGCACTTGGTGCCCACGCCACCGATCCCGACCTTGGGAACATGGAGATGTCTACGATTGACACACTTCCTGTCATCCCTTCCCAGCTCCCTCAACCTACTCGCGGAACCTCTCCACCTTGGAACATACTTGTGCTGACACAGGACCGGTAGCCAAAACACTCTCCCTTTGTTACCAGCTAGCCCTCAACACCGACCTAGAACTCCCGCTACACTTCATAGACCAATGGGAACGGGAACTGGAGATCCAATTCCCACAGATTGATAGAGACAGATTGCTGCGCTACTCCTTGAGGTCATCCATTTGCAAGAAATATCAGGAGCTGGGATATAAAATCCTCAGGCGCTGGTACAGAACCCCCCCACAAACTCCACCAGATGTCCCGAGATGTGCCAGACGCGTGCTGGCGCTGCGGCTCCTCCCCTGCGGACATGCTCCACATTTTCTGGTCCTGCCCTCTGGTGAGCCCATCCGAGATGTGCCAGACGCGTGCTGGCCCTGCGGCTCCTCCCCTGCGGACATGCTCCACATTTTCTGGTCCTGCCCTCTGGTGAGCCCATCCGAGATGTGCCAGACGCGTGCTGGCCCTGCGGCTCCTCCCCTGCGGACATGCTCCACATTTTCTGGTCCTGCCCTCTGGTGAGCCCATCCGAGATGTGCCAGACGCGTGCTGGCCCTGCGGCTCCTCCCCTGCGGACATGCTCCACATTTTCTGGTCCTGCCCTCTGGTGAGCCCATTTTGGTCCCAGGTCCGAGCGATAACCCAAAAATTCACAGGCCACGCCGTTCCACTCGAGCCGGCCTTCTTCCTCCTCCACCATAACCAATTCTCGCTTAAGAGTTACTCTAGATCGGTTCTTATCCACTTACTGAACGCTGCCCGGGCTTGCAGCCCATTGCTCTGGAAACAGGTGACCGCCGCCCTCGGTCAAGCTCTGGTTCTCCAAAATCAACGACATTAGACTCATGGAAGACCTCACCAGTTCCATCCGAGGCACCTCCTCCAGATTCTCGGCCTCCTGGTATTACTGGATAGACTACACCACCTCTGCAGAATACCGCGCGATCATGGATTCCTAACTTCTGGCAATGACGAGCTGAGATCGACCCGTTCCTCATCCTTTCAGCACCCTTA